TTTTTTAAAAACTTTGACCAAGTTTGATGTTGACCGTGGGCCTTTAAGGAAATCAAATCATTTTCAAATCTTAATTCTAAATCTATAAAAAAAAAGATCAAAATAGTCCTACTCTTCTCCTCTAATGTCAGAAAATTTGGAAAGCGTATGAAAACTTTTTAAAGCAGCACATTAATTTAAGGCTTGTACAGCTGCAGGACTTTTAGGAATGAACGAACAGGCCTTCAAAATCATTCCCTTCATAATAATTAGAAGAATGAGAAATGTTTAGACAATATAGATCTAAAACACAGGGGGCATATTAACTAAATAAGAGACTAAATAAAAGTCAAACATTGGGAGCATATACCTTACAAGTGGAGCATAAGTCGAAAAATTTCCTCAAGCACAGGGAGTATAAACTTCAAACATAGGGAGCATATTCCTCAAACAGGTGGAGTATATACCTTAAACATAATGAGTATAGATTTCAAACACAGCAAACATATACCTCAAACACACATAGCGTATTCCTCAGACACATAAAGCATATACCTTAAACATAGGGAGTATTATAAGTTTCAAACACAGGGCTCAAATACCTCAAAAATAGGGAGCATATTCCTTAAACAGTGGGAGTTTAGGGGGGCATATAAACTAAATAGGGGGTTTAAAGTCAAAAACTGAGAGCATTTACCTCAAACACAGGGAGCATATACATTTGTACCTTTAACATGGTAAGTATAGATCTTAAACATAGAGAGCATATACCTTAAACACAGAGCATAAACATTAAATTTTTCTCAAACACAGGGAGTTTAAACCTCAAGACAGGGAGCATAAATTGTAGAACATAAAAAAATAGAAATCAAACACAGCTACATACACCTAATAAAAATTGGGAAAATAGATCTCAAACACAGGGAACATATAAACTACACAGGTGGCTAAAAGATAAACCTAAGTAGCATATACCTTAAACACACGGAGCATCAGCATAAAAAGATTCTCAAACACAGGGAGCATATACATCTATATATAATACAACCAGGATAACTTATACATCAAACACAGATAGCATTAGCCTCTAACATAGGTGCTTGTGTGTGCTATCATAACAAAACAAGGTTAAACAAGCACCGATATATATTACAGGTTAAGAGAGATAACAGATTAACATATTGGAGTCAAAACTCGGATGATATTTTTGGAAACAAACATATGTCACAGGAATAGAACTTTTATTGCAATTCTTCAATATGGAAAATGGAAGCTTTCCAAGCATAGAACTTCAATACAATCTGTAATATTGCTTGTTTTTGGAGGTCATATGACATAACTTGTTGACCTTTAGATATTCAACTTTTTTCCTTGAATGCATGTCTCATTATTATCTGATATCAGATAGTCTACCGGTACTTCATCTTTCCTGATTATTGGAAATTGAAAGTCTTTACTATAAAATTTAAAAAAAGCACCTCATAATCTTATTAAAAGATATGTTATGATCAATTTTTAATTCAACATGTTTGTTCAAGCTAGACAAACCATATTGGGACTGTATGCAGACAAGCTAACTCTAGTCTCCTTGCCTACAGCTGTAAACAATATCTCCCAATTAATTTACAGATATTGGCCATGAACCATTTTTTATCAAAGCTAAAAACTTCTGTAACAAATCCAGATGCCTTACATCATAAATCTTAGATAAATATCCATTCTGACAGAAACCATTGTATTGATGGTGAATGTTTTGTTTTAGACTAACTCTGATAACCAGGTCAATTTGATTTTTTTCATAAAAATGTTTGTAATCTGGTTGATTTGTTTCTCTTATCAATAATTATTTGCAATGCAAACTTTTCAAATAATCTGCTCTTGATGTAATAAACGTCAAGGAAATCAATTTTCCAATTTGTAATTATTCTCCTATTATTACAAAGTATTTCTATCAATCAGTTCATTTCCACAAACATTCAAATATGGATGCAGCTTACTTCAACATGACTAACTTATCTTTCTGAACAACCAGTCTATATAGTTTTAGAAAACAGATGAGTGTATACTTTTTGGATGCCTTTGATGAAACAGTTTTTTTTGGTCTTATCAACATCTGCACCTGATTTTTCACATGTTACCAGTATATTTGCATTTTACTTTACCATTTTCCAGTCTTGGGTATGAGAATACTGGCATTGGAGAGTCATCCAAGGGAGATTGGGGTACAGAGATATGGTTACTTGCACGTCTGCTTGGCAGCAAGACTTATGCTGAGAGAGCATCAATTTTGCTGTGGGGATACTTAAATACACAGCTAAGTCATGTTGGATTGGGGTTATTTAAATTCCCTCTTCATCCAGTAGCTGTTTGATTTCCAGTGCTTCGTCTCAGTCCTCCAACTTCATAGAACCAAACTATCAGATTTATTATCTAAATTGTTCTTGTCCTGAATATGCAAGTTATATTTGCCACTGGACATTAGGCAAATACACATCAAGCAATCAGTCATGCATAACCATATTAAGGATGTAATATGAATTTTATTTTTATATAACTATACATTGTATTGTATATTAAATATAGTCTTCATATTGTTTCAATTTTAGTGGTGAAGCAAATTTTCAACCAGAATTGATAATGGACATCTTGCAAAACATGCTTTGTCATACCTGTTTTGTTTTCATCTGTTATTTACATTAAATCTCCATTAAATGATTAGATGAAAAGCCATGAGTTTCATCTGAACATACCTGCTTTTATCATTATGATTGTTTTCCCTTTGTAACATAGTTGCATTGTTTATATTTGGTTTCAAGGACCATCAACAATATCTAAATACTGAAATTCTTAGATAGTAAATCAAACTTAAATTCAGTATTTTTTTATATAAAATCCTGTCTAATATTTTTACTAAATGAAAAGTTTGTTCTTTTCCATTATAAAAAGATTGCTTTGATGCATAGCAAGCTCTCTGTATAGACTGACTTTAGTAGAAGGTAATGTACCAGTTTCTCAAGTCATATCTCCAGCTCTTTCAAAAATCAAGAAAAAAGCTTGGAATTTTCAAAATACTCCTTTGTCATTACTAGGGAATGTTTTTCAAATTTATACCAAAAGGGTCTGTTGTTGATTAGGGCTCAATAATAAAGACTTGTTTGGCTTCTGTTACAAAATTCATACTGTGTATTGTATATTGAAGAAATCACATATGTCTGTTGCCATTGTGAAAAAGTCTACCTTAGTGACCTTTAAAAGTCATCATTGACCTAACAAATGGCCAATGGAAGTGCCACATTGTGTTATCACATTGCAGGGTAGACCAACCAAATTGATGAATATTACATTCAGTTCAGTGTGATATGAGAAATTTCCATTCATACTGGAAATAGATAACAAACAATAACCATAGAACAACTTTTACAGTGTGTACATTTCCCCAACTCATTCACTATGCCTGTGTCTGTAGTGATAATTAAGATTTTAATGAATGTTATCTATATATAACTAGTAAATTATTTATTCAGGTTAATTAAGGAGGTGTAATGATCGACATTTCAGTCTGAGAGAACACAGTTAATTTAATGATTGAAATTGTGTGTTGTAGTATTTTTCAGCAAAGGCTAGTACTCTGAGTGGTACTAAGTGTGTCTTTTTATTATTTTTTTTTATGCTTAGTACCAAAATTACGGGCCAAGCCCTTCTCAACTGTTTTTTTTTCCAGTTTGTTCTTATGCTATACTGTTACACCTATGTCCCATGTTTAGGGATGGGTTAAGTGCTCACAAACATGTTAAACCCACCACATTCGTTCCCTGTGCCCGTCCCAAGCCAGAAACCTGAAATGCAGTGGTTTTTGTTCGTTGCTGTCTGCCATATTTGTTTTTTGTTAATTTTTTTAGCATAAATCAGGCCTTTGATTTTCTCTTTTGAATTTGTTTCCCATTTTGTCATAGCAAAACATTTTATAGCTTACTATATGGTATGTGTTTTGCTCATTGTTGAACACCATATGGTGACCTATAGTTGTTTTAAAATATCCTCATCCTTGGTCTATGATCTATAGTAATTTTCTTTGCAATCATACCAAATCTCCTTACTTTTATATTATGATTATCACAAAAACTGCTGTTTAAGTCAACTGCTAGGATTTTTCAAATGTCTCCTTCTCAAAATCAAGGGTTAAACATACTCTGAAAAAACACATTCCATTCAGATCCTGTGAATGTTCAATGCTTGCATAATACAACTACACTGTCTGTTTGATCTTAATCAAGGTCATCACAACAGGAAATTGAACAATTTCTTTATATTTTCAACTTGTTTCTGATATTTACGTTATGTAAAAGATTTGCAATATGTAGGAGTAATTAGCCAATGCACTGACTGATCTGTATGCAACAAACATTCAAGTGCAAACATCTTGTTAAGTGTCTCTTATTCTTTTTCCAGGTAAATCACCGGTACAAATTAAACTATAAGTGTCCAGGTTGTGTGTTGACAAAGACTAACAGAATTAGTCAAACTGCACTAAAGGACTTTACACTCAACAGTCTTAAGATCACTCTGACTGGTTTGACCAAATGAATTCTTTTGGATAACAAATTTCTAACTATGTTGTCAAAAGAAAGGAAATGCAAATTTTCGAACTGCAATTCAACATTATACCCTAATGGACCAGAAATAAGCTTCACATTTGTAGGCATTACAAATGCAAAATAAAAACAAAGTCCAAGGACGGTAAATCTTTGAAAAGCCAGTCAACCAAAACTTAACAAACTATCAGTAAGTTATCAATACACTTTATGTAACAAAAAATCTGATTGATATCTGCATGGAAAAAAAAAATCCTGACAACTGCTTTAATTCAGAATGACAGAAGGAAAGAATGATGGAAGGACTGACATGGGTAACACTATATGCCCCAACACTTGTTGACTGGGGCATAAAGATGATTACGCAATACAGCTAATTTGCTTTCAGAAGATAATTGTACGATTCCATATAACTTACTTCTGACTTACCTTGTGTGAATCTTGACATTTTTCAGCACTGTCAACTACGATGGAGTCACATGTTAGGTCACATGGTCTATCAGAAGTCTGATTTGACTGTCCATCTGCATCAGTTGTACGATAAATAAAGGTTAAGTTGTTTCCATGAGCAACAGAGGCTTCAACAATGAACTCTGCATCAATAAAAACTGCAAAGACTTTGGCATTTTCTGGTAAAGCAAAGGAGTCTGGGATACAAGATGGTCTATTTGCTTCATTTGTTTCTAATACTACTTGGAGGTCCTTTGGTTCTGGTTGTTGAACTGTGACAGTGATTGTTGATAGTAAGGTAGATAACTTATTGATAACACGCACCTCTGTAATAAATAAAATTTTAAATGTCTTAATGACTGAATTGCATGAGCACAAATTTAGTTTTAAAATTAAACAAAACTTGTGAATTAAGATTTGTTTACCTAATGATCTGTTAATCAATCATTGTTAGAGAGCTATTTTAGGTTATTCAACAAATTTCTCTGACTCAACAAGACAGGTATTTGAGAAAATCCTTTCTGGAATTTCCTGTTTACAGGATTATTATACAAAAATCTTCAGGTGTACTTTTCCCACTACTAACATTGTTATTTTCGCACATTCTAACAGAATGTTCAAATACATAAATATTAAAGACTTATCAGTTCATTTTAGTGCAATCATTATCTTCAAATTATATAATACAATAAAATGCTCCGCAGGGCGCAGCTTGATACGACCGCAGAGGTCGAACCCTGAACAGTTGGGGGAAGTATGGACACAACATTCAAGCTTGATACAGCTTTGGATTTGGATTGTGATTAAATATTTGACACAGCATAGGTTTCTAACACAGATTGAATGTGGTCTAAGAACTTAAAAATTTTAAATTGGACATTCACCTATTATGGTCCAATATCCAAAATCTAAATACATGGTTAGATTCAGCATATCAAAGAACCCCAATAATTCAATTTTTGATGAAATCAAACAAAGTTTAATTTTGGACCCTTTTGACCTCAATGTGGACAAAGTTGATAACGGGGCCCAAAAATCAAAAATCTAAATACATGGTTAGATTCAGCATATCAAAGAACCCCATATATTTAATTTTTGTTGAAATCAAACAAAGTTTAATTTTGGACCCCGATTTGGACCAACTTGAAAACTGGGCCCATATTCAAAAATCTAAATACATGTTTAGATTCAGCATATCAAAGAACCCTAAGAATTCAATTTTTGTTAAAATCAAACTAAGTTTAATTTTGGACCCTTTGGACCTTAATGTAGACCAATTTGAAAACGGAACCAAAATTTAAGAATCTAAATACACAGTTAGATTCGGCATATCAAAGAACCCCAATAATTCAATTTTTGATGAAATCAAACAAAGTTTAATTTTGGACCCTTTGGACCTCAATGTGGACCAATTTAAAAACGGGGCCCAAAATCCAAAAACTAAATACACGGTTAGATTCAGCATATTAAAGAACCCCATGAAATCAAGAATAAAACCCCATTGAAATTGGTCAAGAAATAAGCAATTTATAGGAAGTATCTTCTTTTGCACAATCCTGTGCTATTAAATATTTCTTGCTATTGCGCAATACTGTACAATTGACAATTTCTTGCTATTGCGCAATATTGTGCTATTGGATATTTCTTGCTATTGCGCAATACTGTGCAATTGAAGATTTCTTGCTATTGCGCAATACTGTGCAATTGAAGATTTCTTGCTATTGTGCAATACTGTGCAATTGAAAATTTCTTGCTATTGCACAATACTTATTATATAATAATTTACACATCCTGTTTGGTGTGTATCTCCTACCATATCATTATTATTTGATTTTAAATATAAATCAGAAATAACCAACTTAAAATGGAAAATTTTAAAAGAAACAAAAAAGGAAAAAAAGAAAAAAAAGGAAAAAAAAATAAATCCCCCCCCCAAAATTTTTTGAACCCCCATTATGATTCATCACCCCCAAACTCAATCCCAGCCTTCCCTTTGTGGTATGGTACCTTGCAGTACAATTTCAGAGAGATCCATACACTTGAACACAAGTTATTGTCTGGAAACTAGAAAAAAATGTGTTTTTTGGCCCCTTTTTGGCCCCAAATTCCTAAACGTTTAGGGCAATTACCCCCAAACTCAAACCCAGCTTTCCCTTTGTGATATGGAACCTTGTAGTACAATTTCAGAAAGATCCATACACATACACACAAGTTATTGTCATGAAACTAGAAAAATGCTTGTTTTTTGCCCCTTTTTTGGCCCCTAATTCCTAAAATTTGGAGGCAATTACCCCCAAAATCAATCCCAGCATTCCTTTAGTGATATGGAACCTTGTGGTACAATGTCAGAGAGATCCATACACTAACACACAAGTTATGTCTGGAAGTTACAAAAATGCTTATTTTTGGCCCCTTTTTGGCCCCTAATTCCTTTACTGTTATTACCATAAGCCCCAAAATCAATCCCAACCTTCCTTTTGTGGTATTGAACCTTGTGGTAAAATTTCATAAAGATCCATTCACTTAAACTAAAGTTAGAGTGCGAAAACCAATGTGTCTTCGGACGACGCCAGACGCCGCCGAAGCGACAACGACGTCGACGCCAACGTCATACCAATATACGACCACAAAAATTTTTTTGCGGTCATATAAAAATTAACTAGGAACATGTTTATTTAACCCACACCACATTCTATATGCCTGTCCCAAGTCAGGAGCCTGTAATTCAGTGGTTGTCGTTTGTTGCTGTATATCATGTTTTTTCGTTTATATAATTGTGTTGTACATAAATCAGGCCGTATCGAATTGTTTTGCATTAGTCATTTAGTTGAGGGCTGTACATGACCTATAGTTGATAACATGATAACTCTACGTCATTTGGTCTCTTATGGAGAGTTGTCTCATTGGCAATCATACCAAATCTTCTTATTTTTATATAGAAAAAACATTTCTGCCATGAATTCATTTTTTATAATTTCACCTTTAGATTCTTCTATTAACCCAAATTAGTTTTCTAAATTAGCAGGGCCCTCAGTGGCCAAGTAGTCTAAGTAGTCCAAATACTGTAACACTAGCCTGTCAACACTGAGGTTGTGAGCTGCAATCCCCCACGTGGCAGGTGCGCTCTACTCTAATCTTAATTGATTAGGATTATCATACCTGCCAACTTTTCAAAATCTCCATGGGGGATTTTAAGAGCAAGAGGACCTAATGTTCCTCTTATATTGTCATAAGTGTTTATAATCAACTACTATATTGTTTAAATGAGTATGTATGTGCTTAAATCCCCTTTAACTCATTTGAATTCCTGTTTTGAGGTGTTCAGTTTATATAATATTAAAAGAATTTCAAAATTCAGGTCAGCACCTCTCATGGGGGAAATCCCCCATAAATCGGGATAGTTGGCAGGTCTGGATTATCAGTTTTCATACAGAAGGTCAGTGGTTCTCTCCGGCTTCCTCTACCACTAAAAACAGACTGCCACGAAATAGCACAATAGTGCTGAAAGTGGTTTTAAACACCAATCAATAAATTAATCAATCTAAAATAAAAAGATTCTGCTTGAATTTTTTTCTGTTATCAATTTATATTGCAGTACAAATGTCCTTACATTTTGATAACAAAAATCCTTCTTATCTTTATTTCAAACGTTTTGGTCAACAATTCTTTAATAAAATGCTCCGCAGGGCGCAGCTTGATACGACCGCAGAGGTCGAACCCTGAACAGTTGGGGCAAGTATGGACACAACATTCAAGCTTGATACAGCTCTGAATTTGGATTGTGATTAAATATTTGACACAGCATAGGTTTCTGACACAGAATGAATGTGGTCTAAGAACTTAAAAATTTTAAATTGGACATTCACCTATTATGGTCCAATATCCAAAATCTAAATACATGGTTAGATTCAGCATATCAAAGAACCCCAAGAATTCAATTTTTGATGAAATCAAACAAAGTTTAATTTTGGACCCTTTTGATCTCAATGTGGACAAAAATGATAACAGGGCCCAAAAATCAAAAATCTAAATACATGGTTAGATTCAGCATATCAAAGAACCCCATATATTCAATTTTTGTTGAAATCAAACAAAGTTTAATTTTGGACCCCGATTTGGACCAACTTGAAAACTGGGCCCATAATCAAAAATCTAAATACATGTTTAGATTCAGCATATCAAAGAACCCTAAAAATTCAATTTTTGTTAAAATCAAACTAAGTTTAATTTTGGACCCTTTGGACCTTTATGTAGACCAATTTGAAAACGGAACCAAAAATTAAGAATCTAAATACACAGTTAGATTCGGCATATCAAAGAACCCCAATAATTCAATTTTTGATGAAATCAAACAAAGTTAAATTTTGGACCCTTTGGACTTCAATGTGGACCAATTTAAAAACGGGGCCCAAAATCCAAAAACTTAATACACGGTTAGATTCAGCATATTAGAGAACCCCATATATTCCATTTTTGTTGAAATCAAACAAAGTTTAATTTTGGACCCCGATTTGGACCAACTTGAAAACTGGGCCCATAATCAAAAATCTAAATACATGGTTAGATTCAGCATATCAAAGAACCCCATATATTCAATTTTTGTTGAAATCAAACAAAGTTTAATTTTGGACCCCGATTTGGACCAACTTGAAAACTGGGCCCATAATCAAAAATCTAAATACATGGTTAGATTCAGCATATCAAAGAACCCCATATATTCAATTTTTGATGAAATCAAACAAAGTTTAATTTTGGACCCTTTTGATCTCAATGTGGACAAAGTTGATAACGGGGCCCAACAATCAAAAATCTAAATACATGGTTAGATTCAGCATATCAAAGAACCCCATATATTCAATTTTTGTTGAAATCAAACAAAGTTTAATTTTGGACCCCGATTTGGACCAACTTGAAAACTGGGCCCATAATCAAAAATCTAAATACATGGTTAGATTCAGCATATCAAAGAACCCCATATATTCAATTTTTGTTGAAATCAAACAAAGTTTAATTTTGGACCCCGATTTGGACCAACTCGAAAACTGGGCCCATAATCAAAAATCTAAATACATGGTTAGATTCAGCATATCAAAGAACCCCATATATTCAATTTTTGATGAAATCAAACAAAGTTTAATTTTGGACCCTTTTGATCTCAATGTGGACAAAGTTGATAACGGGGCCCAACAATCAAAAATCTAAATACATGGTTAGATTCAGCATATCAAAGAACCCCATATATTCAATTTTTGTTGAAATCAAACAAAGTTTAATTTTGGACCCCGATTTGGACCAACTTGAAAACTGGGCCCATAATCAAAAATCTAAATACATGGTTAGATTCAGCATATCAAAGAACCCCATATATTCAATTTTTGTTGAAATCAAACAAAGTTTAATTTTGGACCCCGATTTGGACCAACTCGAAAACTGGGCCCATAATCAAAAATCTAAATACATGGTTAGATTCAGCATATCAAAAAACCCCATATATTCAATTTTTGTTGAAATCAAACTAAGTTTAATTTTGGACCCTTTGGACCTTTATGTAGACCAATTTGAAAACAGAACCAAAAATTAAGAATCTAAATACACGGTTAGATTCGGCATATCAAAGAACCCCAATAATTCAATTTTTGATGAAATCAAACAAAGTAAAATTTTGGACCCTTTGGACCTCAATGTGGACCAATTTAAAAACGGGGCCCAAAATCTAAAAACTTAATACA